GAGAAGCGCCTGTGTTAGGATGACTCCTGGGATTCCAAACTCATCAGTGGTGGCCACCACCAAGTCCTCTCAACAGCTTGATTTCTGTGCCTCACTTTACCCAGTTATAGGGAGAAAACCAACAAGGTAACAGATAGGGTTTGGAACTGGATGATCTTAAGGTCCTTTTCCAACCCTAACTACTCTCTGATTCTATGCCACTTCACACGCTGCAAGATAAATATGGGAGGCTGCGTTGACCACAGGTTTTTGTATGTCACCAGCAGCAGTCCCATTTATTAACACTGGAGCATCAAAAGGAGAGTGGCCAGCACGTTGATGCAGGGCATCCCCCTCTAGTGAGACACCCTCCCCGCTCCGGTACCTTCAGTCATCTGGGATCCAGACCTGCCAGTTTTCTTCCCAGAGAAGTGGTGGAATCTTCATCCTTAGAAGTGTTCCACACCATGTAGACGAGGCCCTCAGTGCCATGGGTTAGTGGTGGCCTTGGGAGTGCTGGGGTAAAGGTTGGACTTGACCTTAAATGTCTTTTCCAACCTGGTTGATGCCATTATTCTGGGCTCATTCCCAGGTGATGATGGCCCTTCCCACCACATGTAACCAAAGCAGGCACCGATCCTGGCCTATTCTTGGCAATTTTATGGAGGGAAAAGGTACTTTTGTAAAGATAGAAAGCTTCCAAGGGAAGTGGGTAAGACAAAGAGATCCCAGTTACATTTTGCCTGCCTCAACCTCTATCCCAGAAGGGTTCATGCTGGGAAGCACAGCAGCAGCCATGCCTTTCACTAAGCAGAGAAGCCAAGTCCTTAGTAAATGGTGATAGTATTTTATCCTCTATGGCAGGGAACTGAATAAGATAAAGATCCCAAGAGTTTTCAATACACAGTAACTGCAAAAACCCAGCAGCCAGAGAGCCTATAGATAGAGATGGATAGAGAAAAAAACATCATGGCAATTTTCTTCCATACAACATCTCTTTCCCCACTCCCACCCAGGCTGATTTCCCAGGTGTGGCATTTCCTGTGTACAGACAACATGGTTTGGGAAGCAATAAAAGAAAACCCCTGCAATAAGAACTAGTTGATAGATTCAACTTCATGTTTATATAATGCAACCCATCAACATCTCCCACGTGGATACTGATCCTGCAGCATCTCTGGATGGATTCTATAAGAGGATGCAGCCAGCCCTAGACTCTACCCCAGGGGCACGAGCTCTTGTGGTGTTGCAATCCCCAGCAGCAGTTCATTTGGGGTGAGGCACGCAAACTGTGTGCAGAGCACTGTGCTTATACACTGCAATTAGCAGTGCTGTGCTTTAATTGCTGCCAATCCATCAACAGGGTCTGGGAGGTACCTTGGAAGCCGCCACCTGAACTTCATTCCGACCATTAACAGAACATATGGCAACTACATGCCAAAGCTTATTGTCCCTCGGTTTGTGTTCAGGGCAATAAGGCTCTGCTAAGATGATGCACTGATTTCATAACAACTTGTTTGGTTGAATACTTGTAGTTAGATCAGAAATTGCTTCCTCATACTAGCTACAGAGATTATAATGGTTTGAACCTTAGCAAGACCACGTCTTTTTTATACACCTTTCATTAGAATAAACCCAAATAAACCACATTAAAGATTCAAAAAAACATGGGATTCTTGCCATTAAAGCTGAACGCACACAAGAGACACAGGAGTTCTGCAGCTCTCCAAATGCAAAGAGGAGACCAAGCGTGCAGGTTGGGTGCCTTCAGCCCCCTCTTTCATCCTCAAAAGGAGAGAGGAAAGCCAAAGATAATTACAATTCTAGCAAGCATCCTCGTGAAGAAACTGAGAGCTCAAGTTTACAGTTACAGTTCTCATTGTCATGGAAATTTTAACATATATAGCCTGACCTGCATATATCTGGGGGGAAAAGCAAAGGAATCATTAAAACTGGCTGTTGAGCTGCAGCACAATTCAGAACACAAGCATTCACATACAGAAGGTTTCAAGGATGCAAAGTTGGCTCAAACCCCAAATTTAGGGGAAAGCCTTTTGTTCTAGAAAGTTTGATCTTTTAAAAAGAAAGATAACAACCATGCTGTAGCCTACACTAAAAAAGTTGCTCTTTGAATGCATGACACGTTCTCTGATAATTAAACTGTAGAAACATAACATGTGCATGCCTTATTCATAGAATCATGGAGTGGTTTGGGTTGGAAAGGACCTTAAAGCTCAACCAGCTCCAACCTCCTGAAATGGGCAGGGACACCTTCAACTAGAGCAGCTTGCTCCAAGCCCCTGTGTCCACCCTGGCCTTGAACACTGCCAAGGATGGAGCATTTACCACTTCTCTGGGCAATGTATTCCTTCCTTCTCAGGTAACCCTGGTTTTTGCAAGCCTTAAAACCTCTCAGATGCCATACCCCCTTTTTATGGTAACCACACACAGGAAAACATGTATTATACTACAACTGCCTCTACTCCTGGCTTGCAGTGGCTGGGTTAGACACAGGTCAGATACAGGGCAATACAACAGGTATTATCAACACACCACTGCCTTTGTATAGAGCAAATAGGCACCTAAGTTACAGAATGGTGTTTTCCTCTTTTATCCTTTATAGACATACCCAAGTGCTGTAGCTGGATATATATCAGCTGGAGACAATTAGCATTTGTTAAGCTTCCTATCTCCATCCAATACCTTGGGATCTTGGGGAGTGTTCTCACACATTCCATAAGTCCTCTGATGCAGAGCAGAGATCACTCAGCACCAATACTGGGAGCACCCTGTATGCTGGGGTATGCCCATCAATGATTCAAAGCTTCACTCAACAGCAGAGATGGGAGTTTGCAGGACAAGTGGTCTTGAATGAGCGATACCATGAAACTCCCTCCCACCAGAGAGAGGCCAAGGGATGCCAAGTACTGACGGGCAGCCTATAGAAGTTACCTGCTTGTTCAAACAGCCAAGGGCTATTTTGCAACAAAATTAAAATATTAAAAAATAATCAAAAATGAAAACTCAAAATTAATTAAAATAAAAATCTAAAGAATTTCAAATTAATTTAATAAAAAATATTAAGTTTAAAACATAAGAAATTGAAAATAATTGAAGAAAAAGGTCTCTCACTGATCTTACACATACTCTAGAGTTCCCACCCATGCTCTGCAGTACTCAAGCACATGCCAATAGACACGTCCAGAGGACAATTAGCCTTCTTTTGCAGCTTTCCCCTCCAAATACAGTGCTAGAATCACTCATTCCAGCACCAACACCTGCAAGGCACTTTATTGACAGCAAGATGGGAAGAGATTCTTCATACCTTGGTTTTGCACAGCTTGGAGCTAATTATAGACTTTGCTCTCTTGCTCCTGCAAACAGCTTTTATCTCTATGCCTCTGCTCAACAAAGTGGACATTGAGGCCTCATGGCCTTAAATAGACAAACTCAGAGACTACACATATTTTTAAGCCTAGATCAGGCACCTTTAAACACACAAACTATTTTAACACTAGAAAAACAATTGGAATTCTAAGCAGAACTGGAAGGCTGCCACTGGTGAAATAAATCAGTGCAAGTGGAGGCAGCTTTCACTGACACATTAAGTCAATGGTAATTTTACTATGGATTTTTCTCTAAGAAGCACAGTGTTCTGGTTCATAAGGCATATTGGATTGGGCATTTTGAGTGTCAGTGTTAGTACAGGCACAGATGCCAAGACATTATGTCCCACTGTTTTCCTGACAAAGTCTTTAAATCCCATTTATTCTCTCTATTACGGCTGTACCCGGGTGTTTGCTCAAAGGAAGCTTCCTCTGGCTCTGAAGTGGACACAGACTGAGCTGGCCAGAGTGGAAGCAGAGGAAAACCAGCACAAACACTTGTACTCTGCAAAAGGAAACATGTTTTACGCTGCACAAACACAAGCCATGACTCCTCAATCCACACGGGAGCTCCCGGCCAAGCTGCACCACCAACAATTGATGCGATTCAGAACCGGGAGCGTTTCTGGCATGGGATCTGCTGCCTAGAAGTGTTTTCTCCTTAACAGCCTCTTTCCCAGAAGAAAAGCACTCTGCAGACAGGAAGATCTCTGGTTATAGGCTTAAAAACAAAGCAAAGAAGCTGTCACCGGAGCAAAACTAACCCTCAAAATCAATGAAGAGATCTCTGGAAGCATTGCTAGAAGAAATGAGCTAAGTTTTAGCTTTGGGGTCTTTTCTTCTTCTTTAAGTAATAAGAACACTAAATAAGAACAAAACAGGCAAGGGTGCAAGTGTTCAAGGCCAGGTTGGACACAGGGGCTTGGAGCAACCTGTTCTAGTGGAAGGTGTCTTGCCCATTGCAGGGGGTTGGAGCTGGATGAGCTTTAAGGTCCCTTCCAACCCAAACCATTGCATGATTATATGAATGAGAGAACACAGAAGAACAGTAAAACACAACCATTATGCAAAAGATGTAACAGCATATTTTTCATGCCTCTTCCTATAAACACATCAGGTCTCATGAAACCCCATCTCACAGCTCCAGACAACCGAGAAGGTGCAAGTTCAGCCCCACTGTCCAAATTCCCTCTACCAGATCTCATTAAAATTGCATTTATCCAGAGGAGGGAAGAGCAATCTCTTAACATCTCCCCCATTTATCCCTAGCTAATTCTCACCTTCTGCCTTTCCCTACCTACAAAACTCATTTCACACACAGAAACTAGAGGCACTGCAGCAATGCAGGTCCTACATAGTCAAAGAAACTGCAAGCACATCAGTAAGACACAAGCAAAAGAGAAGTCACTCCCAGTACCAAAAGGAAAACATGGACAATCGTAACCACATCACTCAATCCCTTTGATCACCATACCCATCATCAACCACATGGTGATGGTCTCTCATAGACCTCCATCCATTCACCCAATGATCTCCATGGTCTACACCAGCCAACAAACAATCAAATATCAACCCATCCAGAACTCAAAGTCACCAAGAAGAGGTGATTTGGTCACATCAACATCAACTACCCACCTTGGTGGTGTCATCATGTGACCGCTGGTACCGTTTCCAACGGCAGCCGTAGATCCCGGTCAGACAGGACAAACATAGCTGTGGCTCGTAGTACTGCAGTGGCTGGTGTTTAACCATGCTCCTTCCAGCCCCTCAGGAGCGGGGTATCAGAAATCCATCAGGTCGTGGGAGAGCCCTGCAAGAGGAAAAAATAAAAGGGGGGAAAAAAGGAGGAGATTTAAGATGCTAAAGTAATATTTCAATGCATTAGAAAAGCAATCTAATAATTAACCATGTCCTCTGCCTACTGAATGATTATTACATCTATTGCCAGCCCTGTCACCATTTCTGGTTTGTTACTCAACAAGATGAGAATCATAGAATCCAGACTGGCTTGGGTTGGAAAGGACTTTAGGATCATCCAGTTCCAACCCCCTGCCATGGGCAGGGACACCTCACACTAAACGATGGCACCCAAGGCTCTGTCCTACCTGGCCTTGAACACTGACAGGGATGGGGCATTCACAACCTCCCTGGGCAACCCATTCCAGTGCCTCAGCAACCTCACAGGAAAAAACTTCACCCTTACGTCTAACCTGAACTTGCCCTGTTTCAGTTTGAACCCATCACCTCTTGTCCTATCACTACAGTCCCTAATGAAGAGTCCCTCTCCAGCATCCTTGCAGCCCCCTTCAGACACTGGAAGCTGCTCTGAGGTCTCCACGCAGCTTCTCTTCTCCAGGCTCAACAGCCCCAGTGTTCTCAGCCTGTTTCAATTTGCAAGTTACATTTCCTTGTGCAGTTTCTCCCACAGCACTAAAAGGAAATGGATTCACAGGAGGTATCAGTGGGAAAAGCCACAGCAGGACAAGAGCAGTAGGCTGATAATTTACACCCCGGATGATTAGATTTTTATGAGTGACTGAAATGTAAAGAACCAGAGCCCCTGCAAGCACAACGTGAAAATGGATTCAGAGACTTCTGCAAAGCTGAAATCCAGCCCAGCTAAATCAGTTTATCTTGAGCACGCTATGAAGCATTGCAAAACAGTCCCAGATGATGAACTCGCACTCCTGTGCACACTGCAAAGGCAGATATTTCCTTCTCCCTTTGCAAGCATCTCAAACAAGCAGTCAGAGGTGAGCTGGATGCAGCCTTCATCCCGGAGAAAGATCCCCTCTCCCCTAAACAGCACTCACTCCCAAAGGACCAGGCTGACTCCAGCGCAAGTGCTCTTATTGCCATGAGTGGAAACATCAGTAAATTTGCAGAGAACACCATTTGGGCAAGAGCGTTGGTCTACTGGAGGATATGGAAGCTGTACAGAGGCATCTGGACAGGGTGGATCAAAGGGACAAGGCCAATCAGATGAGGTACAACAAGGCTCAGTGCTGGACCCTGCACTTAGGACACAACAACCCCCTGCAATGCTCCAAGCTTGGGGAATTGGGGCTCAGGGGGGACCTGATGGCTCCCTACAACTGCCTGAGAGGAGGATGGAGCCAGGAGGGGCTGGGCTCTGCTCCCAAGGAACAAGGGATGGGACAAGAGGAACCGGCCTCAAGCTGCACCAGGGCAGGTTTAGATGGAGCTGAGGACCAATTCCTGCCCCAGAGGGTGCTCAGGCATTGGAACAGGCTGCCCAGGGCAGGGCTGCAGGCACCGGCCCTGCAAGGGTTCACACAGCGTGGAGATGAGGCCTCAGTGCCATGGGGCAGTGGTGGCCTTGGCAGTGCTGGGAATGGTTGGACTGGATGAGCTTAAAGGGCTTTTCAAACCTAAATGATTCTGTGATTCTATCACTGTTTCAAGGGAAAGTACTTGGCTCCATCAATTACATGCTTTGTGCGTCACAAGGCTTTTTATATGCATATATATATAGTTAGATGCTTGCTTTGTATCTGGTGAGATTCATATCAAGACCAGATCAAGTAGTTGTGTGCTCTTCATAGAGTCAGTGCATGGGGATAGCAAACCTCAAAGCAAATATTTGCCTGTCTGATGGCATCTACCAGGGGTTTTCCACAGGTTCCTGGTACATGAGTACACCCACAGCTGTGGTGGGTGCACTGTGAGTGATGCTCAACAGCAGTTGAGCTTGCAAAGTGCTTGGCTTCCTTTCCAGAGCATGCATGACCTGTGGGCAGTAAGGCCCCTCTCTAGGGGAATCACCCCATTTCCTTTATATACAGCACCATCAATGTGAAGGTCTTACATAAAGCTATGAGTAACGACACCCTCACTCCATCAGCAAAGCAGGACAGGGCTTGAGGAGGTAACCTAGCCACCTAAGAGCCTGTAATGCTCATGTCATAGAATCATGGAATTGGTTGGAAAGGACCTTAAAGCTCATCCAGTTCCAATCCCCTCCCATGGGCAGGGACACCTTCCACTAGAGCAGCTTGCTCCAAGCCCCTGCGTCCAACCTGGCCTTGAACACTGCCAGGGATGAGGCACCCATATCCCATGGAAGGAAGCACCGAAGAATAGGGCTGGCCGTACCTTTCATTACAGCCGATGCATAAGGGGATGCCGTGGGCATTGCAATCACTGTGGCTGAGTCTAGGAATGCCAGTGAGGACACAGACAGCTCAACCCTTCCAGCTTCTGTCCTTCCTTGTATCCATTTACACTCAGTGCTCCATGCTGACAGCCTAGGACAGCCCTGTCCTGATTTGCTCTAATCAGGACTCAGCATCCTCAAGGCAGACAGATCTTGCTAGCTGGTGGTTGTAGTTTCAAAGCCCACCAGACCATTAGCACAGCCCAAAACCCTTAGGTCCTCTGCTTTCTTCTAACACAAGCACACAGAACATTGCTTTACCCTTTCAGCAAACCTCTCTATGATGCTCTTGGTGCTGCTTGAGACATTGACCCAGGCAGAGGACACGAGATGCACGGGACTTGCACATCAGCTCATTGCTGATCCAGATCCCTTTGTTCAGCCCCTCAGGGAGAATATGCAGGACAGAGCCACAAGCACATCCAGTCTGAAGCAAGAGCTGCTTGCTGATCACATCGCCCCATGCTCTCCCAGCTCATCTGCCCCTAAGCGTTGCTGTCCCACCTCCATGGCCTCATGCTTGAGGACACCTCCCCGCCTGCAGTTCATCCCTTCTCATGCTATTTATAAAGCTCAGCATTAGTCACTGCACAAGTTGCTTCCTATCTTCAGCTTGTGTCTGCTTCAAGATTGTCCCTACAAGACGAGTTTCCTGGTTTGCCTTCCCCATGTGCCAGCAGCACGCTGCAGGCAGGAACAACTGTCAGTTAGAATAGGTCGGAAACACTGAGGGCATGCAAAGTTTGGTGCTATTTAAGGGTCTTGGACAAAGCTATAATCTCTGCCTTGAAGATCCTAAGGAGCAAGTGATGTCCAAGATGTTGCAGGATGCAAGCATGATGTAAAAGTTATCAGAGCCTATTAACAACTACACTGCCAAGCCCCATATCACCAACCTGCAAAGCCAGCAAGCTACAGGCGTTACAAGCACATCGTCATGAATTAAACTCCAAAAGACAGCATCTCTCCTGATTCCCACCTCTTCATGCAAGGCAAGAGGGCAGACAAACCACCTCTATGTGTAAAAGCTTTGACCATGTACTTTATTTGTTAGCCTCCAAGAATTGCTTTGCAAACTCAAACACCAGGAGCACACTCAAGCACTTTATCACTCCATTCTTCTGGGAAGGCCTTAGCTATTGTCCGGACACTTGAGAAGCAATCCTGTATATCAGCCACATGCATACAGGATATCAAAGCTAGCAAACCCTGACTTTTCAAACAGAAATCCCATTCATCTGAAGTGCCAGGAGCCTGGAGCAGAGGCTGCCCTTCAGGTATAATATAATCTGTGTTACGAATCCATCATCCCATTAACAAAGTTGATGCTCAAGCACTTTAGTCCTTAGCTGAAACTTCACAGCACAACTCACAGGAGGCCACTGGTAAGGCTGGGAAGGGAATAGGGTGAGTTTGGGCAAGCCCCACAAGTTAGGAGGTACACGAAGAGTTCTCATCTTAGGACTATCACCAGGATCCCTAACTCAACTTGTTCAAGACACCAACATCCCTCTCACAACTGCATATCCAAAGCTATCGGCTAAAGGCATAAACTTTGCTGCACAACCAGAGGTAGTGCAGGCACCAAAGCCTTTTGAAATGGCATGGCTTTAATAAGGTATAAGTGCACTTCAGAATGGAGGGGGACCAGCAATTAACCCTTCACCCTGAAGGTGAATCCCACCAGGAACACCAACAGTCAGGGTCGAGGCAAAAGCCTTGAGCTTGTTGTTCACTTCTGAAGAGCATCTACCAACCTCCCACAGCAGCATCTAATCCAGCATCTCCCAAACTCCTAGCAGCATGATGGAGGGACATAAGTGTCTTCAGTGCAAAAGGGCAACCAAACCAAAAGCATGCCTGCCCACCAGTATCATCACTACAAGGCACTGCTGGAAGGTTTTAAGGGCAGCTTAAAACAACTAAACCACTGAAAACAACCAAGGGAAAACAGAGCTGAGAAGGCTCCATAAGCTAACAAGTGAAGCTCCCATCCTGGTTCCTCCAGGGAACCCATAGATTCAGGCTGCCCTCCATGGAAGCAGTCAGGAGAAGGACAAAGAGAAGAACTCCAAGATGACCTTAAAAAAACAGACTATTCCTAAATGCAGTTGAACTGCAGGAGCCACAGCCTGGAAGCCTAAAATCATTCCCTCTTCTCCATAAGGAGCATAAGCAGATGCATAGAAGCCCACGATGGAAAGGAAAGCACACAGAGCACCCATCCTCCCCACCGCTCACACAGACACCTGAGTAGTAACAGGAGATGAAGGAAGAGACTGAAGCACAGCAAGGCAAGATGCTGCTCGAGAGAAACCCCACTGATACCCATCTGCCTAGAGATCCTTGCATGGCTTAGATGCTAGACTGAATACTTACTTCTCCTGCTTCCAGAAATGGATTTAATGGTGAGAAGCAGAAAGCCTGTACCACCTTAGAATCACTGTTCCCATGACATCTACAGCTTTGAGGTGGAAAGAGCAGGCTATGAATGATTCAAGCCTCTGCTGGTTAGCATTACATACAGAAATGAAAACAGGAAGCAAGACAACATACATTAATTATTCACATTCAGCACCACGCACCAGAAGGGAGGGGAGGGATAAAACACAAACCCACACAAGCAATCAACC